AAAGTTTTGCGGTTCACTGGTCACCCTGGTTAAAATTTTAATTTTTTTAACAGATATGTATATTTTGTAAAAACTACTGTAGACTTGCTTAGTGCCAAGTACTCAATTTAAACATTTCGTTGATATTTTTAAATCTCACTCTATTTTAGTAGTGAAAAAGTGACTTTAGTGACTATTTTTAGGGAAATAGTGATTTTAGTTACTTTTTGGTGTAAAAAGTGACTTTTTAGTGACTGGCTTCAAAATAGTGACCAAGTCACTAAATAGTGACTTGCTACCAGCCCTGCATAAGAGTAAAGAGCTACAGCTTTGGTTTCTTCCCCCATACGACCACTAATGTCATGTAAACAGGGGAGGCCATGTGAATGTTTCTCCATCACTCCATCAACCATTTAAACAGTGGGAGAACGAAAGAGACGACAAAATCACAATGTTTACATCGCATTGGATCGCATCGATACGCTCCTTCGCGGCGTCATCAAATACCGTAACCTGTCATGAGATAGTTGAAGATGTGACCCCGATATTATAGGGATGTGATCGATGAAAAACGAAATTTTTAATTTTCGAGATTATATCTGATAAAGTGGATTTATTCAGATATATCATATATGAATCGATTCACGAAAATAAAGATTATTTTTTCAAAAAACTTTAATAAATCTGGGAGTTTTGTCCCCCTCGCCTTTTCCCTTATATTCAGTCAAAAATAGGATAAAATAAAGTTAAAAAGTGCTATAACTTTGCAAGAAATGCACATAGCCACATACAGTCTGGAGCAAAAACATGTAGTTTAACTATGTTTATATTTGTCTAGAACATTTGCTTAACAAGATATTATGTAAAAAGTTTATAATTAAAAACCCAAATTGATCCACCGGGCAAATGCAAATGAATTTCCCATTCAGTGTGTTGATTCAGGCGCAAGCTAACTATAGTCGCTATATTTATAGTCTTGCGGATAGAATTTCGTTCTATCAAAGAGCGGAGCCAATTCAATATATTGTAGACCAACAATTGAAATGGTACTATCAAGTTTTATAAACAAAACTTTGATAATGCTTTCATCATCGGATAGGGGAAATTTGAGTTAGTTTGCGTAGGCGAGGCTTAAGTCACGAGAAAACGGCTTCCGGAAGTTTTGTTCGTAGTAGCTGATGTGCCTTTTTCTGTTGTTGGTCGTGAATTGACAGCTTAATTAGTCAAACGACTATTTGACAGCTCAATTGGTTCCCGAGATTCTCTCAGCCAGGCTATGAATATAGCGCCTATACAGCTAACATCATCTTATGTTGAACTGTCCTGTGAGCTTAGCGAGAAATTCGTTTATGTTGCCGTGGTAAATCAAAGAGACAGGCCGAGGATAGGCCCTTTTCAAATGTTTCGCGAGAATACAGAATAAAATTCGAAAAAATGTTGCACCATAGCCTGCGGCACCCCCAACAGCTACGCTAACGGGACTGATCGGTCAGAGTTTCCAGGTTTGTTTCACGATGTAGCAGTTCCAATAGCGGAAAAACTCGCTGCACACGACCAACGAGATCAACCCAAATTTGATTTTACTCATAAATCACAAAAAGTTTTTTCCAGAATACCAGAAAATGATAACACTAACGATTGAATTTTCTCGGTCTATTGGTACTACTACTAGACTGTGTAAAATTTTCGTAAATTTTCCCCATTTTCCAGCAGATTATTGAGGTTTTTATTTAGGTTGATCTCATCGGTCGTGCACAAATTTGAAGAGACAACATCTGGCTTTTCGACGTCAAATCGGCGCACACTACTGTACCATTTAAATCCAACGAGTGCGAGCAAGAGGAAAACACATTAGTGGGAAAATACACCGCCGATTCATACATGTGTGATAGATAGAGAAAGACGATTAAGCATCGAAAAGGTCTATTGGAATATTGGATGGTTCTCAACGCACCCCTGGCGTGAAATGGCCCTGCGCTGTTTTTCATAGCTTTCCGGTTGTCAATTCGTGAATTTAAAAATCAGCATTGCTAGTTCAGTGCTTGAACTAACATTCTGGCACATGATATTTTCAGTATTAGTAATGGATAAGCAACGAAAAACTGCACGGGGCCTTTTTAACCCAGGGGTGCATTATGGGCTCTTCTCCCCTACATTCAACGATTTTGCGTCCGATTTCTTCTTCTGATCATAACGCCCAAACTAAACATAAAGCCATCTTCTGACTTAAAAAAAAAAACAGAGGACATGCACGTATCAACCATATTGATCGAATAAGCCATCTCAAAAAAATCTTGCCTAGATTAAATTGAGAATCGATTGGGCTTTATCGATTGGGAATGTTTTAAACAGGTGAGATAGCTTGTGTGGATGGTTATCGGGCGCAGACGGCAGGACGTGTGAAAATCGATTCTAATACCTATGTATCGGTATGAATTTTTTTTTTTCTGCAGGTAGATATGGATGAGGTCTTTCACGTTGATGGGATGAACCGTTGATTTGTAAAAAATCGTTAACTAAAATCATTCTATCCTGTAAATCTCCGGAACCGGAAGTCAGATCGGTATGAAATTTTTTCCCCAAGTAGATATACACCCAACCGGTGGATGTAAGATTCGCTTACAATTATGTGGAATTCATCATCAGAGGATGTAAGTGGAGACTGCATGAACCGAGGATGCAATATACCTAGCTGCGGTCCAATGCAAGAGAATTGGAGACCGAAAAATGTGAAGTGTATTTAGTGAGTGAAATGAATTATGTCGAAAAAAATTGGAAAATGGTTACCGACTGGGACTCGAACCACGAACGTTGTGATTATCAGACCTGTGCTTTCTCACTGCTCTCTCCATGCTTCTGAATATGGATAGCCTAAAAGCAAACAAGAAGCGCTCATTTCCTCTCACACTTGACTTCGTATGATTTTTCTGCAGGAGAGATTCGAGGCAAGTGTGTGCGTCGTTCTGCCATCTTATACATAAAAATCAAGGCAAATGCTTGCTTGTGTAGATGAAATCACATACATAACACGAAAAAAAAAGGCAAAAAACCATTACATCGCCTGCAAGGTCAACTTCTAACATTCGCTGCGATGTTCATGAACAGAGGATGATAGGAAATGGAACTTACATTCATTGTAAAAAAAATTTGGTTTGCGTGTAGATAAGGTCTTTCTACTGATAAAGAAATCATGTTGATAAAGTGTACCGTTAATTTTTAAAAAATCGTTCACTAAAATCATTCTGGCCTATATATCTCCGAAACCGGAAGTCAGATCGAGAAAAAATTCAATAGCGATCAATGACGCAATGGGGCCTATCAAACGAGATATCAACCATATTGATCGCATGAGCCATCTCGAAAAAAGCTTGTCTAGATGAAACGCGTCCACAGACGCACATACAGACATCAGCAAATTTCATCTTGCTGGGTCGAATTTTGATGTTCAATTTGATTCTACGATGTCGTAATCAAACTGTCGAGCCAGATCGCGGCGAGTTCTATCGATTGGGAATGTTTTATACAGGTGAGATAGCTTGTGTAGATGGCTATCGGGCGCAGATGGCAGGACGCGTGAAAATCAATTCTAATAACTATGTTACGCTAGTAACAAAGGTAAAACTAAATTTATAAAATACGTCCCATATATATAAAATTATTAGATATAGAAAACTGGTATTTTCAACAGTTTCAAATTTTGAGTAGCTATACAACTTTTTCGAAGAAAGTATTATTCTGTCTGTTTAGGAGAAAAAGTTAGATTTATCATTATTATTTTTTTCATAGTAGGTCATGATACATTTTTGAAATTGTAGAATTGCGGGCAATTCTGAATACAGTTTTTTAATTAAGTTTATAAACAATTCAATTAAGTTTGTGATTTTTCCACCTCCGATCACTGCGGTGCGATCCCATCATAAAATGGAATGATTTCTTTATTGGTCCATATTTCGCCATAAAATAAAAGGAAAGACAAAAGTAGTGTTCCAGTTTGGATACATAGCAAGACTTGAATGAAGATGACTCATGAATCTAGGTATGCCTACCATATAAATCGCTACAACCGCATAGCAAACCCCGATGTAGCTATACAAAACCTCCCAACTTCCACACATTAGTTCTCGGAAACAATGAATCATGGTTGTACAACCAAAGTGCATATCAAAACAATCAAACCACACTTCGTCAAACATTCCATTTCGTAACATAAACAACACCATTAGCCCAAAAACTAGTACACAATTCGGAACTGTAAAAATCACGACTGGCGCAAGGAAAGCAACAAAGGTTACATAACTTCCTATACAAGCCACCAGAAAAGAGAAGAATAAGAAGAAGAGAAACCCGGTAAAAGGTACCACTCTTCATCGTTTCAACAAAAGCAAAAGCACACGCGGGAAGAAAAGTGCAGCGCACAAGTAAAATTGAAGCTAATATATGCCTTCCGTTTCTCTTGCACTGGCAGAGAGGTTTAAAAGCTTGGGATCACTTGTACTAGCTGTACAAACTTCGCATTGTACCCTACAGTGTTATTATGTGCATCCGATTGGGTTATATCGACGTTTGTTTGTCCGGGTGGCGGTGTCTGAGACCCAACTAGCGTCGACTAAGTAGTGAAACAGGTTGGATTTTGAGTTGGGAAACTTACTCTATCAAAACAAACCAAACAACTCCGCACCAGACACATATGCGCACCACGAGGAAGCACACGAAAAGAAAAACAACGTTTAGCCAGTTTCGCCCCAGACCGACACGAAGTCTGCTGTACGGTTAGGGCAGTGTCTACCATAGTCCAAGCTAAATATTTGCGCTATCATTAAGTTATGCCGGCTGCGTATCCTACAAGAGCTGAAATTCCCGGCGTACGTGAAAGCATGCTGTCTGTAATGTCTTCCTGCTCACGATGAATCGTTCTTTGTGATTTGAGTTAGAATACTTAAATGGTCGTCCAGTAGAAGCATTTTGTTGAAATCGATAACGAATGCCTACATATATTGATTTTCCACACAGAAAGCACTTACCTCTAGCTCAATTTCCAGTTTGTTAATATCATCCGTTGCCGTGTTGAGATTTTCCAGTTCGATCTGCAAATGAAATCAGAAACAGAGAAAAGCAAAATTAATTGATTAGCTAATTACAGTCCACTGAGAGCTCGCTTAAGAATGCGCAATTAGGTCCGAGTCGGTCCCTGCACGACAGTCACTCAAATGAAGGAGACCGGACAGCTCTGTTACGGCATAGTCCTCCAGCTGTAATCAAATTGTGCATTCATCTGTCAAGTTCACATTGATATGCCTATGCTGCATCATGCCGGGCACGGTTCCAAAATTCAATTAAAAACAGCATCCTTCCGGTCGTTCTCTCCCCCAAAGAGCAAATGCAAAAGAGTCGTGGCGGTGTCTGTTCCGAACATGTGATCATGGAACTTCCACTTCCTTTTGTTATAGCAGTAGCATTATGGTCTGTTGCATGGATGGATGGCAGGTTTGGTGCACTGGCACACACAATCCAGGATTGTAGGTTGTTTGGAGAATGTTCTACAATTCATGATTGTTTGCTGGCTAGAGTAAGACTTTTTATTTCCTAGGTGAATTAAGATTGAACTTTTTTGATTGGCCTTTCAAACATACCTCTCGAAATCGGCAACAAACCGAAATTTCCAATTCTGGGTTGGAAAACGACGGCAAGTAGTGTAAATTTTTAGTTGTATCATCCAAATCACAAAATTCCCTTTTGAATTTTGTAAAATTAGTTCGCCGTCTTTCTCTACAACATGACCATGAGGATTCATTACTGTAAAATGAGTGGCTGCTACTCTGCGATTGACCAGATCCAGCGAAAAATATATAAAAAAATAAATGAATGGAGCTCGCGATTAGCAATCCATTATCAGCTAGAGTAATCAATTTCAAGTTCAATAATGGCACCGGTCATCGAAGAGAGGAATGATTGCCAGTTCGACATTAGTTGTTACAAGGGACCGAGCATAGCTACCTCTTCATCCCCACGGCTGTCACAGAAGGAACGTTTCTGTTAGTGGGAAGGATGAATCGGATATCTCAGTAAGCAAAAACGATCGCCACTAGTCCACTGAGCTCCGTACCTCGATCCGTACATCCACAACAAACGACTCCATTTGAGCCTGGCGACAGAAAGTCATTCAAATGAAATGACGTCCCCGGAAAGAGTGAACAACACGATAGCGTCAATTTTCAATCCAGTGCATCATGGAAAACTTCCTGGCAGCACGAAACAGCAGTAGCACACAAAAAGCTTATTCATATGCAGTCGAATTGGTGATGGGTTGACTCGCTGCGGGAAGTCTATCTAAATATTGACACACACGAATAGATAGTATGCATCAGTCTGTTTCGTTCATGCCTATCCCCACGAATCAACAAGCAACAACACCATATATGGACCACGTATAGATAAAACTTGAACCTAGAGCAACTGTTTTGTGGATCCGTTTCCTCCCGAAGGTATGCTATTTGACACCATTTCATTTTTCATCTTCACGCCAATGATTGCGGCGGGTAAAAAAAGGATTCATAGGCAATACTAACCCGATGGAATTCTCCTCCCATGCTGCGGGATTTTTCCAGCAAGCAATCCTTCTTCCATGCCAACAGCAGCATCTTATAGTTCACATATGGAGCCCTTGGGACAGCGTTGTTCCGAATCCGTACGGTTCCGTTATTCAGCTTGTACCACTGTTCGCAAACGGATATGAACTCTGCAATCAGTTGAGACTGCACCACATCAGTCAACGTCATACTTGAAACCGAAAAAAAATACCCAAAATAGTTTTGGATTCTCTTCTTCACTCGCGCAAAATGACGCAGTCGGAAAATTCACAAACAACAAACAAGATTTGACCATTGCCGAGCACCAACCCGCCACAACAAACATCCGTTCCAAAGAGCTCGCGGCACCCAAGTCGCAGGTTTTTCGATTCGAGCAATACTCAGACAGGTAAAAGATCTTCAACACATTCAATGCGATAGGAAGCATTCATTATCACCATCAGAAGCAGAGCACATAGAGTTGTGCTTACGGCTGAATAGGTGAACGTTGACGTGGTGTAGCTATGAGTCATATATTTAAACCCGCGAAAAAAAAGCGGCGCTGATAAGATAAGGCGTCAACCAGCAAGGTATACTAAGGGAAGTTATTTTTTGTATTTCGAAAGTGCTACAAACAGCTGCCAGCCAAATATCACCTAACCGAAAAGACGGTAAAGCTAAAGAATATCCAAGCTAATACTTCTGCATTCAGAGCAAAAAGTGAAGACAGAATATGACAACAACTCGGGTGCTAGAAATTGGATTAAGGTTGAACTTTTTATCGAATGGGTAATCGAGGTGTTATGTTCGTCACGAGGGGTGATGAATCACGGCCTAGATTTTGACACAATACAAACAATTATGTTTTCGAAATTAACGAGTTGAACTTTGTTGAAATAAGACGTGCTAATTTTATATTTAATTTGTTCTGCCTTTAGGCTGAAAACCTAAAAAAAAAACAAAATTGTGATCCGGGGGCAAATTGGTTGGTTGGTGATAAATATCAAGAGAAATCATGATAGCATTTCATTATGAGACTCCAATGGTAGCTTTGACGAGTTTCTCTTTACAAAAAAGTAGTTTTCTCAAGGGGTAGGTCACTCCGCACACCAATCTCAGCTCATCTTTTTTTTTCAGTGTGCTGCAAGTGTGCCGCAGGTGTGCCGATTGAGCTGGTCATAGTCATAGGCGATTGTTTGTAAAATACCCATCCCGGCAACCCGGTATTTCTGACCGCTTGAATGTTTTGGTTTGAAATCGCAAGAATAAATCTGTCTAGCAGGGCTGGTAGTGGGTATGTGATGTAATAGTAGTGACTTTAGTGACTAAAATTACGAAAATAGTGACCAAATAGTGACTTTTAAACAAAAATAAAGTGACCAATAGTGACATTTATTGATCGGAAAGATATGGTTCCAATCATCCGTTATTCCGGTATTTTTCATGCTTTTTAAAAATAAAAAAAATAAATGATTTAAGGATCACATAAATTTGTTATCGAAACATACATATGCATTGAATAAGCAAGAGCACGTTCCAATTCTAACCTCCATTTCCTCACTCTGCAGATCATGAATTTGTTATTGGATCGCTAAATAGAGACACAGAGAAAAATATTCAAAGTACCGATTTTAGATAGCATTTTTTGAAGATATCAAGAGCCACATGTGAAAAGGGCATACAAGCTTTGTAGACCCTCTTCTCGCCAACCGAGGGTCGCCCACACAAACTAACAACATCATCGGAAAGGGGAAACTTTACCCTATCCGGCGATGTTGATGGTTTGCGTTGGTGTCATATGGGAGGCGAGAAAAGGGCATAAGAAAGCTTGGTTACAAAAAGCTTGTTGTTCTTGATATAGGATATATATGAAGCGATGCATTTAGCAACATGAAGAACTGCAGTTTAGAATTAAATGTACATATATACACCCACTAAAACAAACATCACGGATACTAAAGCTACCGGGGGTCAATGATTATTCAAATTTCTGGCCTTTGAACAAATGTTGAGAGCTTGTTATACATTGAACCAACGAGAAAGGTAATTTTTACCTGAAAATTCAGGTAACCTCTCCAAGATAGGACTTCAATGACATGGCTATGAATTCCATTGGATTCACTGGTCCAGTCCACATATCATGCTGGTAAAGGCTAAGTGAAATTCACTTAAGTTTTTCGTGATTTCATAAAACGAAAATTTTCTCGTCGTATTCGTTATTCAAAAATGGCGAAGGAAGAAAGTGCGCATTCGTTGTTGTTGGTCGAGTTGGAATGTCCAGGCTTCTTCATGTTTTCAAGCGTAAGTTTTATAATGTTTATAAATGAACACTCATTTATAAATTAAAAATAAAATTGCAGAAAATGAGTGAATTTCAATTTTTCTAGAATGCAATCATTTAATGACCCAAATAAATCGAAATATATATCTATAGTCTGTCACCAATTCACTTTATTATTACTACAAAATCCAGTAACATCTACTTCGCTTTTGAGTTATGCCAATTTGAAGATTATCGGAAAGTCCGATAAAATTTTCGTGAAAATCAATTGATTTCTATGTGAATTACTCAAATGTAATCTCTCCCCCAAAATACGTAATATTCACCTGAAAAGCATGCTTGCCATCCACAGTTTTCGTCACGAACTGCTCATTTGCTAATAACTTATTAACTAATTTAAGTAATAAAAAGTAGATTTTAATTCAAGTAATAAACTGTATTTGTTTTTGCGTTGTAAAAATCAAGTGAGAAATGCTCGCTGCACATCTCGGACTTTATGTGTAAAAATTCTTTGCTGTTGATTCAAATGTTAAGATGTACCTACTCTTTGCATATCTTGTAAGCTATGATCCTTATCTATCAATTACTTTAAAGAAAATCAATTTTCAATAACTGAGTGAAAAGATATTAACAAATGAGCAGTTGGTGTGTACAACTGTGCATACAAAGCATGCTGAAAAGTATGATGGAAAATATAAACGTGCCTATTCATTTGAATATTACGTAACTTTTAGTTGCAGTGTAGGCTTGGATAACTTTCAAGATCTCCATGTAAAACAGCCAGAATATTGGGTCTAGAGCTTTTTTAGAAATCTCTGAAAATTTATGATAGGTCTACGACAATTTCAAGATAAAAATAAATAAAATATTAGATTTCGTGAACAGTAAACGTTTCCATATGTTCGCAACTCTTCTTGTCAGACTTTACTCTGAGTTTTTAAACTCAAATTATTTACTCTCAACATTGGTCTAAAAAGTGACTTTAGTGACTAAATTTTAAGGAATAGTGACTTTAGTGACTTTTTGATGAAAAAAGTGACTTTTTAGTGACTGACTTGAAAATAGTGACCAAGTCACTAAAAAGTGACCTGCTACCAGCCCTGGTCTAGCGGCATTTCGGATTTAAATCTATAAGTGAACCGAGCAGTGAACTGCTAGTCAGAGTTCCTATGATATATTTAATTTGAGGATGTTCCTGAATATACAGCCAAACAGCACGTAATGTTGTGAACAACTT